GGTTAATGCCTCCTTTCTTTTTTCCTCCCCCCCCCCCTTTTTTTCAAGCAGAACTTTCTATCAATTATGGTTTTATATTAGTCTTTTGACTGCAGCCACAAAGGGTCTGGAGATGTCAGATAGAACAGACAGAACCACTTGTTCGTGTTTTATCCACAAACAAATTTGCTGCTGTTGTGTTCTGCAACAGTGTTTGTTTTTAAACACTAGCTTCCAACGAATACAATCAGGAAGAATTCAACTAAGGTCTGGATTTCCTGCTTTTCCTGAAAAGTAAGAAAATTAGGCAACACTGGACCTTTGTTCCCGAGAGCAGCCTTCTGCAGGCTTCAGCAGGGTCTGTCTCCCTGAGGGGGAAGATTACGGTCTTCAGAAATGTTCCAAATATTCGCCCAGTTCTAGGCCAGTCCAGATGCACGCGGCTCCTGTTTAGCCCAGGAACTAGACAGACTCGCTGACTGGGGACTTCTGTCCGCACTCCTCCTCGGGTGCTTCTCCTTTCCTTACGACTTGAGCCTTTCTCTATGTGAGAACTATCTCCTGAAAGGGCAGCTCTTCAGCGCTTACTTAATACTTGCTTGTTCCTCCGCCCAAAGGGCAAAGTCATTCTTTTCATTGTACTTTACTCTCCCCACCTTACAGTTGGCCTGTCCTTTGAAGGTCTAAGATGGTCCATTAGTGTCGAAATTGGAAAGACACTAGGCTGGGAGCCGGCCACAATGTACCTGGGGTGGAGATGGAAATCCAAAGTTGACAGATTACCCAGAGGGATGTGATACCATGCGGGGCCCTGGGGGGCTCCTGGCCAGAAGATCTTGTGCCCCTATTTCTTTGATTCTAGGAAACAGCCTTCATTCAACCTCCATGATCTTTCCTGAGTTCCAATGGGCAGATTTAATCTATAGTTAATTAGGGAAGGGAGGGGATGCTAGATGAGGGAGAAACAGTCAAGAGCAGCCTTGGGACAATGTCCTGTTTCCCCGTCAACGGATACACACAACAATATCTTTGAGCTATTTTGCAGATAGTGAAACCTCTTGCAGGTGGGAGAAGTTATGGTATGCTACCCTCAAGCATGTAGACCCCAGACTAGTTGGACTTGAAGGCTTATGATGTTGACTCCTACTTACCTCACCACCAACCCTTCAGAAGAATGTACACAAGCTGATCACACCCTCTTTTACTATAAAACTGTCATTATCTTCCCCAAGTTGGGATCTTTGGTTTTGAGGGCATTAGCCTGCTGTGTCCTCCTTTGCTTGGCAAAGCAATAAAGTTATCCTTTTCTACTTCACCCAAAACTCTGTCTACAGGATTTGATTTGGCATTGATCACAGGGCTCTAGGTGGTAGGAGGTGGGCTGGATTGAGAAGGGATAATTGAGTACAGGGTTCAAGGATGGAAGAAGTGGCCTGGGCAGAGGTCTGGGGAGAGAGTGCTTAGGAAGTACAGCCTTGGAGAAGGAGCTGGGCAGCCTGGTAGGGTCTGACGTCTCTGTTGCAGACTTAGGTGAATCTTCTGGAAGGTTCCTTGACTCTCCTCTTTCTTGCTCCCCTCTGAAACCAAGTAACTCAGATTGGGACCCATGGTCTTTTAGCTGAGATCACACACCTGGTTTCAGGATTTAAAGAAGTTGCAGTTATTGATGTCTCATCTCAGAAAGAATTTAGTGAGAGACAAAATGATAGGTAAGAAGTGGATTTATTTAGAGAGAAACACACTCCACAGATAGAGCATGGGCCTCCTCAGAAGGAGAGAGTGGTCCTGAAATATGATGGGTTTAGTTTTCATGAGCTGGGTAATTTCATAGACTAATGAGTGGAAGGATTATTCCAAATATTTCTGGGGAAGGGGCAGGAATTGGATCACCGCTCACTTCTTGGCCTTTAATGACTGGCTTCAGAACTGTTATGATGCTGGTGGGTGGGTCATTTAGCTTGCTGATATGTTACAATGAGAATATGCTGAGGCTCAAGGTCTAGTGGAAGTTGACTGACTGCCATCTTGAATTAGTGGTTCTACTCAGTTTATGTCATATCCTGGGCTATGCCATTCTTTTAAACTTTGTGCCCTGCCCTTTTCCCTCCTGTTTTACTTCCATATCTAGAACTCCAGAAAATTCCATTGAATTTATTTTCAAAATGCTTTCAGACACCACCCATTCCTCACAACCTATATCTCTACTCCTTAGTCTGAGCCATGGTCCTCTCCCACCTTTTCAGTGTCCATCTTCCACTTCCACCTCCCGACACTAAATTGTCCCCAAGCCTGCAAAGTTGAACAGGACTTAGCCTCTGCAACTTCCCTGCTCATATTTCTCCTTCTCCTTCTCTCCCATGCCATTTCAGGCACATTAACACACCTTCTATTATCAAAGCATGTTAAGGTGCCAGTACTTGCTATTCCCTATGTTTGGAATGCTCTTTCTCTAGAAATCTCCATGGCTTATGCACTGCTTCTAATCAGCATGCTTATATGCTAAGTCACTTCAGTTGCATCAGACTCTTTGTGACCCCATGGACTATAACCCTCCAGGTTCCTCTGTCCATGGGATTCTCCAGGCAAGAATACTGGTGTCGGTTGCCATGCTCTTCTCCAGGGGATCTTCCTGGTACAGGGATCGAACCCGTGTCTCTTACGTCTCCTGCATTGGCAGGCAGGTTCTTTACCACTAGCGCCACCTGGGAAGCCCTTCTAGTCAGCTGCAGCTGCTGCTGCTGCTAAGTCACTTCAGTTGCATCAGACTCTTTGTGACCCCATGGACTATAACCCTCCAGGCTCCTCTGTCCATGGGATTCTCCAGGCAAGAGTACTGGAGTGGGGTACCATTGCCTTCTCTGCCTTCTAATAAGATCTCTGCTCAAATGTCACTTGCCTCAAGCCTCACACACACACACATAATTCCCTTATCTCACTTTTCCTCGGAACACATATTGTGTCATATATTTGTCTCATTGCCTGTCTTTCCCCTGAGAATGTAAGCACCATGAGAGCGTCGAGTTTTCTTGACACATAGTAGATGCTCAGTAAATAAAAGAAGGTGTCTAGCAGATAAGGAGAAGTGAGAGATGCCGGAATCATGGTTATCTTGGGGGAAAAGAGGTAATATTTACCACAAGAAGAGATTTTCAATACAATACTTGGCAGATGTGATGAAAATTTAATTTAATTCAATTCAGTTGAAGTATTTATAGTGTAATTATTGTATGCAGATCACAATGCCAAGAGTTGTTTGGGATAAATGATAATTAAAGGGCAGATCCTGCCCACAAGAAATTAACAGCCAAGAGAGAAGGGTGAGGGCAAATCAGACCCCTTAGTTATTTTTGCATCTCCATAGCGTGTCCTTCATTGCCTGCACCCTGGAGACGGGAGGGGTAATTAACTTTTGTTGTTTTTTTTTTGTATCAGTGAATTATCAGACTATCTCTTCACTGAATACTTTTACTGTCACACTGTCCAATGAGGTGAAAAATACCTTACAAACCCATATCCATTTCTCACTCACTCCACTCTACCATCATCCCACCCCAGTTACTTGGACGTCTTCATTGCATGCCTCTTGAATATTTCTAATGCAGTACATCCACCCTGATCCTACGTATTCTCATCTCAGTTGCTGAGATCGCACTGGTTTTTCTGCCCCATTCCTCACCCTCAACCTGGTATTCCACAGAACCTAGCTCCTGACCCACTCATTCTTCAATTTCTCTGGTCCTGGTCACCATCATCTCTTGTCTGGAGATGGCTAGACTCCCGTAGAACTCCCCTGCCCTCCATCCTCCACACCTAGGCCAGAGTGGTCTTTCTAGAATGTACATCTGATGTCAATACTACCTGACTCAAAATTTTCAGGGGATTTGCTATGGCTCTGGGCTACAGTTGAAATCCCTTAACACACCAGACAAAGCCCTCCAGGTTCTGACACCTGATTTCTTCTCTTCCTATTTCTTGTCACTTCCTTCTTTTTTATTTTTTTTAAGTTATTTTTGGCTGCACTGGGTCTTCCTTGCAGGATGCCGGCTTAGCTTCCCCGAGGCATGTGGGATCTTAATTTCTTGACAAGGGAGTCTACTGGTGCCTCCTGTCGGAGTCAGACACGACTGAAGTGACTTAGCAGCAGCAGCCGCCTGCATTGGCAGGTGATTGCATAACCACTGGACTGCTAGGGAAGTCCCTGTCACTTCTTTCTTACAGACAAGCTTGGTCCTAACAAAGATTTCTGATACCCTAACTGGACCACTGTCTCTCCGCTCTGGCCCCTCGAGATTATTGATTCAGTGGCCTGTCAGCCCTCCCCTCCCCACTTTCTCTGCCCCTGGTGCCTCCTTCTGCTCCTTTAGACTCCACCTGGTGTTCATCTCCTCTGAGAAGCCTTCCCTGCACCTGACCTGATCAACCCTCCATCCTCATGCCCTGACCCCTCAACACAAGTTCAGGGACCTTGCATGGGCTTCTTCAACACTCTACTTTTCTTGCCATACCTGTTCTATGATCTCCTTACTAGACTGCAAGCTCCAGGAGGGCAAGACTGTCCTATTCCACGTTGGTCACCTTTAGTCTGAGCTCACCCAGTATGTATGTTGGACAAGTTTTGAATGAACGAAAATGTATTTGCTTGGAGTGTTCCTCATAAAATAATTATAGCTTACATTTTACTGAGTGCTTAAGATGTAGCAGGCACCATCCTAACTGTTTTACAAGTGTGTCGTCTCATATAACCCTATTAAACACAGGCCATTTCCTCATATAACAGGTGGGGAAACTGAGGCACAGGGCTGTTAGATAACTCGGCGGAGATCCGCAGCAGGGAAGTGGAAGAGCTGGGGTTAGAATCCAGACTGCTTCCAGAGTCCAATTCCATCGCAACGTCTAGGAAATTCTGTCTCAGCGTGAAGTGCAGTGTGGGGATCCACTACATGAGCAGATTCAAGTCTCCTGCAAAGGGCTTTGTTTATGTTTCCCAGAGAGGGGACGCGCTCCCGGCCGCCCTCTTGCAGGCTCCGGGGTCCTTTGCTGGGCTTTGGGAAGGGCCTGTGCATCCTGCCGGTGGCCGGGTAGTGTGTGCGTGAGCTCCCTGATTAACTTTCAGAGCTGCCTGGCCCCCACGCCAGCTGCGCCCAGGTTCTCGGGTGGCCTCGGCCACCCGCATGTGCGGGTGAGGCGCCACCAGCCGCGCGCGGAGCCCCGAAGGCGGCCCCCAGAGCGGTAGCCACTCTCCGCGGGTCGGGGGGTGGGGGGGGGGTGGGGAAGGGGTGATTGGAAGGGGCGGGCCCGGGGGCGGTGCCTCTCGCCGAGGCCACCGCCTTCGCCCCGCGCTCGGCTAGCCCGGGTGCCGCGGGCCGGGCGGAGGGGGCGGGGCCTGGGGAGGGGCCGGAGCGCGGCTGCCGGTGCCTCTGCGGGAGCAGAGGAAGGAGGTGGTGCGTCCCCAGAGGCGTGCGCCGGGACGGAAGGACAGACGGACCCACGCGCGCGGCGAGAGGGCCGGTGGCGAGGTCGGTATCCGGTGGGCGCGCGGGCGGCGCGGGGAGGGGCGGCAGCGAGGGGAGCCGGAGCCCGGGGGAGGGTTGCGGGAGGGGCGGCGACGGGCCCGGCGCCGGCTGCGCCCGGGGGTCGGCGCGAGACCCCTCCCCGGGCCGGTCGGGCACGCGGCGAGCGCGCCCCGGCAGCGAAAGCGGAACCCCGGTATCTCTTCTCCCTCCTCTTTTCTTTCCAGTCAGCGAAAAATAAACACCCGGGAAGGTAAAACAATAGCGGGGCCACCTGGGACGCGGCGGGAGCCGAGCTCCCACGTTTGGGGCGGGTGCCGAGGGTGGAACCGGGAGCGGCGGCCCCACCTCGGAGCCCCTTCCAGATTTGCCCCCGCGGAGGGTGGGGCTCCCCGCGGCGCCGGGGCTCGGTGGGAGGCTGAGGGAGTTCCCTGGAGTGAAGAAGCATTTGGTGAAAGTACTGCAGGAACAATCGGTCTTCCCACGATTGCTCTACTCTGGGCGGGGAAACTGAGGCGGAGGCGAAGGTAGCGACTTAGCCAAGGGCAGACCGTAAAGGTGGACCGTCCTGATCCCGGATCGGGACCCAGGTGTCGCTCAGCCCCTCTCGGTTGTGTGGCGGCCGTGCTTGCCTCGGATAAATCTCTGTTGTGTTTGTTTTAGAAATCTGCTGGCATTGTGGGACCGCTTCAGGGCTGCCGAACGAACGCCAACTTCCTTCGTTGTGTTTCGGGCAGGTCTGGGGCAGGTGGCAGCCCCGTCATGGATGGAGACGGACTTTTTGATGAAGAAACCCGAAGCAGGTGATGTCAGCTAGGGCGATTTGGCTGTCAAAGGTTTTGACAAAACCTGCCGTGTTCCCTTTCGGGGAATCCGAATGAGGGAGATTACAGACACCTTCACCGGGAAGCCAAGGACATTTCTGTATAATCAGTGGATGAAAGGATTTTCTCAGACTCTCTTTTCCCTTTTCCTTGAGGATTAAACCACCGCAATCTACAATTCCAGTGGAGGCCACAAAGCACAGGATGTGGCAGGAGCCTCGAGCGCCTTCCGAATTGTTCTGGACCCTTCCTTTGGCATAGAGGAGTTTAACACTTGCCACCCGCCGCTCCTCCCCGCCCCCACACTCCCTCCTGACTAGCTCCTTAACCTGTTCTCATCCCCTGAATTGAGTTTTAGTTCCAAAACTGTCCTCTGGAGCTATAAGTGGATTGCCAGAAAAGAGAGATTAAGAGCTGGGAGAAGAGGAAGCGGCCTGTGTTGTGTCTCCTCTTGGCTGCCGACATGAAGTGCTTTCTCCCTGTGCTGAGCTGTCTGGCTGTGCTGGGTAAGTGGTGGTGCTTATCAGCGCGATCGATGGAAAGTTTAACCTGCTCCTGGTTCCGGTAATTCCTTGTGGTTCTTTCCCATCAACACTCGACTTTGGGGGACCCCAGGAGACGGCGGTGTGTGTCACAGGTTGGAATAGAGTACCCAGAGCCCCATTTCTGACCCGGGAGGCATATTTGTTGTCTTTAAGAAGGACATTTGCTGTCCTTGGTGTCTGTCCTGGGCCTTGCTGTGGGGCCCACCCCTCCCGGACCCTCCCCTCCCCTGTCTCAGTCAATGTTTAGGCACTTCCATGTGGATTATGGATTGGTCTTTTGTATTTTATAAACATGGTGCTTCAGCGTCTTCCTCTTCACATCTGTGTTGCCCCACGTCAATTCCTAATCTGAAGTGGCGACATTATTCCCACTCTTGGGAAAGTTGGTTTGGAAAGCTGACAGTGATGGTGGGTTTTTTGAGGGGGGAAGTAGGAATGGGTGGAATAAGGGTTGAAGCTTTGCCTCATGTGAGTGATCTGTAGAAAAAATGTTTGCGGGTCTAGTCGTATGTCCCCTCCCCAAGGAAGTTAAGATCAGAGTTCTGGGAGGAAGAGAGACTAGAGGAATAGTGCCTGGTAGGGGCTGTGCTTGGAATGGGTTTTGTGCCCCCACGGAAGGTCAGGATGCTTGGATTGGATGGAGAAACTCTGGCTTGAGAGGCGAACCCTTGACACCTTTCTTAAGGATTCTCTCCCATTGAAGAGCCTGCCCCACCCCCCAACCCTTTGCCCAACATTCTCAGATTCAACAGTGCTTTCCATGTCCTTGAATGCCGTCTTAATCTTAAATACAGTATCTTGGGTTGAGGATGAGCTCTCTGGCCAGAATGTGGTACATCCTCTCCTTCCATCTCCTTAGACTTCACAGGTGAGCACACCCTCTGCTCTCTGGGTACAGCTCAGTCCCCTGTATTCAGAAGAGGGCATCACTGCTGCTTGTGGTGTTTCCATCTCAGCATCTTGGTGTCTTGCATTTATGGGACTTGTGACCTGCTACCAGCGGAGATTGCTTTCATGCATTGTCTACACCCTTGCAAGAGTTCACAAAAGGGCAGAAAGAGAGTGGACTTTGGAGATGGGAGAACCCAAGGTCAGATCTCAGCCTGACAGTGATTGATGTCTGAATCTCAGTAAAATCGAGTGATACGTCCAAGGATTGTCCTGACAGTTAAAAGTTATAAGGTATTGTAAATATCTTGATTGCTTTGAAAAATGTCCAGGGCACATAATGTGTGCCTGTGTGTGCTCAATCGTGTTCAACTCTTTGGGGCCCCATGGACTGGAGCTCACAAGGTTCCTTTGTCCATGGGATTGTCCAGGCAAGAATACTGGAGTAAGGTGCCATTTCCTCCTCCAGGGGATCATCCCAACTCAGGGATCAAACCCGGATCTCCTGCATTGCAGGCGGATTCTTTACCATCTGAGCCACCTGGGAAGCCCAGAATCACTGGGTGAGCTTTAAAGAAATCTCGATGTCCAGGCAGCAACCCCAGACCAGTTAAACCAGGTTCTTTGGGAGGGCGACCCAGGCATGTATCTTTTAGCTGTCCTAGGTAATTCCAATGTGTAGCTGAGTTGGGGAGCCAGCGAGTGAGAGTGAGTTTACCGCGGCCAGCTCTGCACTCCCCTCCCCAGCACTCACACAGACACCCAGTCTGGCGGCAAGTTTAGTCAGCCTGCGGCTCAGGCGTGGGTCAGTGTCTCCCTGTCTCTTGTGTGCTCAGGCGGAATTAAGAAGACGGGTAGCTCTCCATTCACCAGTACTCAATATTCTACTGGTATTTGCCATTCACCTAGTGTCCGGGTTTAAAATCAGTAGTTAGTGACTCATGTGGATTCAAGAGGCAAGCCGGGAAAGCCCTCCAGGAGGCTTGGGTGTGGGGTGGATGGTGTGGCTAAGGCAGGAAAGAGGGCTGAGTGGAAGGGTGGGGCCCAGGGCAGGAGATGGAACCACCTATGGGCAGACAAGGAAATGTGACATTTGTGCCTTTTGTTTCTCCTGGCTGCTCCAGAAATGTGAGGCTGCCAGCTGGTCCCCCTGCTGTTCCCCTCTGGGCTACTCTGTGGAGTGGAGCTTGGGCCACTTTTGCCTTCTACGCCCAGCCTCAAGCGTGAACAGGTGCCATGGAGGAAGATGAGTGGTGCTGAAGGGGTGTGGTGGCCCAAGACCACACCTGGGTGAGGGTGGGGAGGCTTTCGAGCTGTGGAGGGCCCTGGTTTTTTTGATCCCTACTGGGAAAATCTCGCCTTTTCTCATCACTCGATGACTGGCTGCATGGCGGGGAGGGGGCGTGACTGCTACTTTTTAACCTTGGAGACCAGCAGGTCTTTGTGGAGGGAACAAAACCCAGGTGGGGGTCTTATATCCCGCTTGCAGCCTGGTGTGGTCTGATCCACGCGTCAGCATTCTTGCTGTGTAATGAAAATTAATGTGTAATATGAATTGAAAATAGCAAAGCTGCTCAAGGTTTTGTGTCCAGGTGGGTCACATGGCTTGGAATAAGATTTTATTTGTAAAAAGTAGGATCAGGTTAAGTGTTCTGCAAAATGAGACTGATCCAGGTGCTGCCAGCCTCCAGAAGCGGCAGTTTGAGTTAGAAAACCCTGTGACAGTGTGTAAGGGGTAGACAGGGTAAATCCAAGATGCTTGTCTCTCCCTTGCCATCATCAGACCCATGTTTTCTGCTCCCTTCCTTTCCCACTGTCCAGGATTTAGGTCGAGTTTCTCCTTTTCTGCCTGCCTGGGTACCAATTCCTGCCCTCTGGACCACTGTGTCTTATTTCTTCCTTTTGCACCTCTGGGTGCCCACGTAACTAGGGAACCATCAGCTGCTATGGCTGCCCTTGTCCCAATTCTAAAGCCATCTTAAGCATGGGCCTGACTGAGCCACGAGGATAGTGAAGTTTCCACTACTGAGAATGGGTAGAGCCAGAGGGGTCGAAGAGGAGAGAGAGGAGGGGCTGGTGTGGATGTGGCTTGAGTGTGAAAGAGGGAATGAGGAGATTGCAGCTGTGTCCGTGCCTGGGAGCAGCCTGCATGAGTGACAGAGACATGGGAAGGTGACCACAGTGTGGGGGAGACAGAATAGGATTTGTGGCTGCGAGAGCAGGAAGGGAATAATCAGGAAAGATGAATATAAGCTTTAGGCACATAAAGCACATTTTGATTTTGCATAACCATGAAGAGTTATGCCTTCTAGACCATTGCTGATGTTGCAAACAAGATGAAATAGCTTTGAAAGTGTTCCCATTGAAAAATGTAGGAGACTGGGACATCCCCGGATGGACACACAGAACTTGTGGATGGCTCATGGTCATTCTTGCTCTTCTCCAGTGGGAGAGAGTTTTCTCTTGTAGAGTTTGAAAAGCGTCTTGTTTGAATACCGTGGGACTGAGGAAGCGATCACTTCTTTCCCAGTTAGGGAAGGCTTCTTAGGGGGGAGAGGCCAGAGAGTGCTTCCAAAAGAGATTGAAAGGAACTTTGATGTTCTGGTGGGAGTGAGCTCAGAGGCAAGACTGGGGTGATCAAAGGCAGAGGAGAGGGAGGAGGCAGAGGAAAGGAGCATGGTGGCTATGGGCATCGGCGAAAGGGTTCCGAAGGAAGAAGACGAGGATTGTGATTTATGGATGAGCCAACACCACTGTCCCAACAATTTTCCCAGAGGCAATGCCTTTCCCTTTCCTGGGCACCATTTGACAAGGGTGCCAGAGAAGGGAATTCTTGTCGGGATTGGTCTAGCTAAGATGCCTTTCAACTGTGTGAGTCATTGAGCCACCCCTGGGTACCCAGGGTTGTGTTAAGATATCCTAGTCTCCTATCATTGCAGCAAGAGAGTAGTAGAATTACCGCCTCTCCAAACTCTAGCCCTTACTGTGAAGCAAGTCCTTTCTCTTTGATTCCTCAGTCTTGCCAGATATAGACCTTATATTCTCATCTTTTTGTAGTTGGGGATATTGAGGTCCAGGAAGGTTAAGGAACTCACCTGGAGGTAGATGACTGTTTACCTCTTTATGACTGTTGTTTAGTCGCTAAGTCGTGGCTGACTCTCTGCGACCCCATGAACTGCAGCGAAGGACAACCCCCTGTCCTTCAGTGTCTCCCAGAGTTTATTCAGACTCATGTCCATTGAGTCAGTGATGCCATCCAACTGTCTCATCCCCTGTTGCCCCCTTCTCCTCTCGCCCTCAATCTTTCCCAGCATCAGAGTCTTTTCCAGTGAGTCAGCTCTTTGCATCTGGTGGCCAAAGTATTGGAACTTCAGCTTCAGCATCAGTCCTTGCAATGAATATTCAGGGTTGATTTTCTTTAGGATTGACTGGTTCGATCTCCTTGCTGTCCAAGGGACTCTCAAGAGTCTTCTCTCACACCACGGTTGAAAAGCCTCAATTCTTTAGATGACTATACTAGCTTGAAATGGTGCTCCACAGGGATAGGGACCCAGTCCCCTTCTGTCTTGTTTCAGGTGTGTGCCTTTGTTCTCAAGATCATCTCATGGTCCAAGATGGCTGTGCTAACCCCAACCATCAGGAAGGAGGAAAAGAATTGGTAAAGGGCATGCCCTCTTAATTTAACGACATTTCCCAGAAGTGTTCCCCTCATTTCTGCTTACATCCCCATTGGTTAGAACTTGGTCACATGACCATAACTTTGCTGCAAGGGAGGCTTGGAAATATCTTTAATTCTCAGTGTCCAGCCAAAAACTGGGGTTCTCTTGTTACAGGGGAAGGAGAGACCAGATTTAGCAGGGACAGGTGCTGGTCTCTGGCACACTTACAAAGCTAGGAAGTGGCAGAACAGGGTTTTGAAACCAGGACCACTTGGTTTAAATCCCATGTTCTTTCATCCTACAAGTTGCCTGAGTATGAGGCCCCTCCCCTGGCCTCTTAGAATCCTTATTGGGAAGACAAGAGCTAGATAAACCAGCTCTTACATGAAGCAACACGAGTCAGCATGTAATTGG